CGTTTATAAGTCCGGAAAACCAATTCAGCACGCAGTTTGAATGACTACAAACATGGTATATATGCAAGTACATATGTAGTATAGGATATATAATTCACATTGAATTATTTAAAAAAAAAAGCGTTATAGATCTAGCTTTAACAGTTATAGGCTTTGAATTTCTAAAAAATAAAGTTGATTTTACTTTTTGCAAGTACTGTTTGCAAGTATAGGTTTTTTCATAACTCATCTTTAATAATTTGTCAAAACATATGATATTTTTAATCTATTTACCTTTCTCAAGAGAACGGACATTGCGCGATGTAAGTGTGATTCTAATTCGATGAATAGGAGTGACTTCCTGTCCTGGCTTCTCGGGATTATCGACTTTAGTAGTTGCCTGAAAATTACAAATAATTAATTATTCTACAAATACGTACAATATACAAAATGATAATTATACAGTTTAGCACAATCATCTCAAAAATGAATAAAGTTAGGCTTAAGATGCTTTTTCACAGCCTTTTGACTGCCTTGTCGCTGAAAATGAGCATCGAGCATCAGCATGAAAAGATACCTTTATTCGACGCGTATTTGCATAAAACGAAAGAACCTGGCAGAAATAAGTATAGCTCCGCCCCGCGAACCGAGATATCAAGCGTTAAAATTGACGACTATTGAGGAAATCTATCACAGGAGAAACAGGAGAATAAGTGCAACAGTACAATTATAAAAGTCGCCTCTTGGCAGGGGGGGGGGGGGGGGGACGCTTCGCGTGGAAAGTCGAAACCCACGTGCAACAGTACAGGTTCGTTCGTGTCGCATGCTCCAACATGTTCCAATATGCTCCTACCATAGCTCCTACTCACTCTACCAAGCGCGTTGGAGTGAGTAAGAGCTATGGTAGGAGCATGTTGGAGCTTGCGGCGCAAACAAACCTTACAATTATAGAAATCGTGTGCCCCTGAAGCAGGAGAGGGAGTAGGATAAAAGTCGCTTCGTGTGAAAAGTCGAAATCAATATATAACGAAACAATTCAAGAATTGACAAACCTCGTTTCGCCTCTGACAGATTTCCTAACCTAAATAGTCGTCAACTTTAACACTTAATATTTCGTTTCACGGGGCATAGTGACGCTTATTTCTGCCAGATTCTTTCGTTTTAAGCAAAAACGCGTCGAATAAGTCTAATTTTATTGATTTTTGAGGTGATTGTGCTAAACTGTACGATTACCTTCTTCGGATTTTGAGTGTCCTACTCCTATTTTGCATCGAAGATGCATAACCTAAATCGGTGCTTAATGTGACTCATGTGACACGAATATATCATCGCTAGAGTAGATATACTTTTATAACGGTAAAGTAATGTTACCTGAATCACTTACCATTTTATTTTCAGATTAAATTCTCGTACTGATCGAGATAACCAATTTACAAGCTGAAACTGACCAGCGCTGAATCAGTACATGAACATATTCCACGTGCAAAGCACAAAAGAAGATGAGAGGTATGACTTCCGGTAGGGTTGCCAGATTTTTGGAATGCACACCCGCCAACTTTACGCACCCGAGACGCTACAGCGCGCCAGTCGGACCGATCTAACAACAAAAAAGTCGCATGCTCCTACAACCACTGTGGGGCTATTCTGTAACTTTTAGGGCGACTGTTACCAACGCCGATTAACTTAATCGGCTGATTAGTCCATTGGAATTGACCAATCGCATTTGTCATTTTGTTTGACGACAGATGGCGATTGGCCAATTCCAATGGACTAATCGGCCGATTAAGTTAATCGGAGTTGGTAACAGTTGCCCTTAAGGTCACTGTCACCAAGCTCAGTTGATCTAACTAGGCCAGTTAGTTCATCGGAATTGACCAATCGCATTTGTCATTTTGTTTGACGACAGATGGCGATTGGCCAATTCCAATAGACTAATCGGCCGATTAAGTTAATCGGAGTTGGTAACAGTCGCCCTTAAGGCCACTGTCACCAAGCTCAGTTGATCTAACTAGGCCAGTTAGTCCATCGGAATTGACCAATCGCATTTGTCACTTTATTTGAAGAATTGACAGATTGATCAATTCCGATGGATTAATTGGCTCAGTTAAGTTAACTGAGCTTGGTGAAAATGGCCCTTAATGACAGTTCGGTATCGTTAGGATGCCATTACATGAGCGCGGAAACACGGAAACGCGGAAACGCGCAACCAATCAGTAATCGGTAAAACGTGAAATCATAACGGCGGATCGTTTCTGATTGGTTACGCGGTTACGCGATACGCGGCAAATACGCCTCATAATGGAACTCCAGCATAAGGGTGATACTTCATTTGTGCATTTTTGTCCTACAACAAATGTATACAGAACAAAGAGGTCCTCGGATCTCTCAATTCCATCAAGCCAATCAACAGACTCAAAAAATTTGTCGTACGACAAAAACGCACAAATGAAATAGCATCCTTATATTGTCGTTGCTCAGTTTTTTTCATGTAAAATACCTGCGCAACGACATCCTTAGCTAGTAAAATCGTCATTAAAAAGTTACAGAATAAGCCTCTATTGGATCCCTATTCTCGAAAAATATCGCATACGAAAAACTAGAGAAATACTACAGTATATGTTACGTATACTATAGTATTTTCCTAGTTTTTCGTATATGTTTCTTTTCAAGAATAGAGCCCTTGAAGTCCATGGTATCAGGGTTGGGAACGTATGATACCCTGTGTATCATACATAGGTATTTTATGTATGATACTGAAGTATGATACCACTTCACTTTCATACACATTTATGTATTATACGTCACATAACCTCATTTTTTAATCCAATGATTTTATTTAGATGTTTGAATTGGCAAAACGAATTTACGTTTTACTGCGATATCAATAATTTGAAATACAACAATATGTAATTATATTGAAAATTAATTAGAAAAATTATAACATAGTCAGATTATATGTACTTTAAAATTAAATTCACGCGATAAGAGCAAAAATTATAACGAATGACTAATATTATTGTATATCAAATTCATGTATATATTGCACTTACATCTTCAATATTACTTCCCTTCCATTTTTTTCCATTTTGCAAACTACATTTTTAATAAAACTGGAAGGAGTTATTCCCAATCAACAATATACTCCAAAACTTCAAAAGCTTAAAAACATTGTTTTTAATCAATAAGATTAATGAATTAAAGGTTGGGGTTATGTTAAAGGTATCATACAAGCTCCTATTATAGCTCTTAGGCCGGTATTCATAGTCGGTTCTTATTTCAAAACCATCTTAAGTAATGTCTTAATACGCTAACGCGGCTCTCTGATTGGTTCATGACACCTCAAGGCTGAACTTAAGACGATCTTGAATATAAGAACTGACTATGAATACCGACCTTACTCACTCCAACGCCTTTGATACAGTGAGTAGGAGCTATGGTAGAAGCATATTGGAGCAGGATGGAACTTGTGACGCGAACAAACCTCATAAGACGTACCATAAGAATCAGCCAATTAGAATTAAAAATTCAAAAGAATTCTCGACTGTGATTGGTTGATTCTTACGTACGTCTTATGATTACTGTTACCCCGGATCCACAGTAAGTGTTTCAAGCCTTAAGTCATTAGAAATTGACCAATTACTCCGGATCTACAATAGGTGTATTAAGCCTTAAGTCGTAAGAAATTGACCAATTATAGTCGAATTCGAGGGGAATAATCGATTATGATTCGTCCATTTCTTATGACTTAAGGCTTAAAACTCTATTGTAGATCCGGGGTAACAGTAACCTTAAGTCCGGATCTACAATAGGTGTTTTAAGACTTAAGCCGTAAGAAACTGACCAATTACAGTTAAATCCGAGGGGAATAATCGACTGTGATTCGGCCATTTCTTATGGCTTAAGGCTTAAAACCCTATTGTAGATCCAGGGTAAGACGTGAACTTAAACCGATGAGCCAATCAAGATACTGCTTTAGATCTACGTAATCTGACGGAAATAGAAATAGCAGTAAACTTATCCATAAGGTGAGTTTCAACCAGTTGAAATTTGCCTTATTGCGAGGTTATGGCTAAGTTTACTATTATTTCCGTTAGATTACGTAGACCTAAAGCAATATTGCTCCTGATTGGCTCATCGGCTTAAGTTTACATCTTACGTTCACTGTTACGGAATTTTGTGTGCGGTAGCCCTTAAAGCTGGTTCTACATTAGCCACATCGCAGTGTCACAAGCGTGTCGCAAGCGTTGTGGTCCAATCAGAGTCGAGCTAGATTTATGTTGATTGGATCGCAACGCTTGCGACGCTGCGATGCGACTAATGTAGAACCAGCTTAAGGCTTAAAACTCCATTGTAGATCCGGGGTTACGGAAGGTGTGTACTATGGCCTTGACAAGATAACAGACAAATTGAATTTATTCTGTCAATATAATTTAGGAATCGTTTGGGGAAATTTAGAAAAAGTATTTAAACATTTAGATAATAGTATTTTTCTGGTCATTAACAAATTTTATCATGCGTCAAGTTAGCAGACAGCGATTTTATTATGTGTTTTATGAATGGAATCGATTAGAAATCATTTGGGGAAAACGTCTTCATTGTTCTTTTCATTTGGGAAAAATTACTATTTTGTAATTCAAATTTACACATACTGCGAAAACGAACAAAGCCCGGGTGTAGTGGGTGTAGTAAGTGTAATACAATGGATGTAGTAAACCTAAAATCATAAATCATCAAAAATGAACCAATTAGGATGCCGTCACATACGGCTGGCGTTCCATGGAGCGGAAATATACAGCGGAATGAAACATTTGCTTAGTTTACATCGTGCACTTGATATGGATACTAATTAGTAACTTTCTATTGAATTATCTTATAGCGTTTTCGACCCGGCCGGGTTTGCATCAACCTAAGTTGGATTAATGGCTGCTAACTTGACGCATGATAAAATTTGTTAATGACCAGAAAAATACTATTATCTAAATGTTTTGTGCACTCTTATTGATAGAGTGTGTAACGTTAACCAATAGGAAAGATTAATCCAACCCAGGTTGGTGCAAACCCGATCGGGCCGAAAACGCTATTAATTTTGGAGAAACGTGTAAACATATACATGATATATGTATTTAATTGATCATTTTGATGCCTATTGTACTAATTTAATACATCATTCTTTAAATACATTGCTGAAATTAAAATAATTTAATAGAAAGTTACTAGTTAATATCGTATCAAGTACTCGGTGTAAAGCCCAAAACACAATGGAGGGAATAGCGATAGGAATAACACGATTTCAACCTATCAGGAACTATGTATTCCGATATATCCGATTTCTGATAGGTTGAAATCATGTTATTCCTATCGCTATCGCTATTCCCTCGCATTGGGTGCGTTCAGCAGAACAAAACTGTTGTACAACGGTTTACTGATGAGTTGCAACATGTTGAGTGTTCTGCTGAACGCTCTTTTCTCTCCTCTAACGCATGCGTGGTTGCGTCA